AGGTACATGAAGATGGAGGGCAGAGCTTCCCACAGTCACAGAATCAAAACAGGCGCCAGGGAGCACAGCTGCGAGGAGTGGCACGCAGTGAGACGCAGTGAGGGGAGGGTTTCCTTGGGAGCAGGGACTTTTGTGTCCACTATGTGTCTACACCGTGGCTGCCTTGACTAATGTCAGAATCTCTCCCACATGTGGACCAGATGTCGTCTGGATCCTTGCAGAAGAAGCAACATGTTAAGTACAAAGGCAACACGCCGGGTCACGGCGCTGACTCTGCAATCTCATGCTGGGGACCCCTCAGCCTTTCCCTTCCTCGGTGAAAACACTCTCTTCAGCCCCTGCCAGTGCCACATTCTGTCACTGTCCCAAGGGCCCAGCTTCTACAAACGACTTCCTTTTCTGGCTGCACCTGGTTTCCTCCTGACCACCATTGCCCAGGACAAAAAAAATCCAGATGCCTTAGTAGGATGTGGCAGGGCCCTTTACTGCCTAGCCCTGCTTTGTAAACACATGACCTTCTCAGTTGGGGTGGGCTCCCTTGGCTGAGACTGCAGTGCCCCCCAATACGATACCCCCCAAACTGAGCCTTGGGACCTTGCATCAGGGACAGCCACTTCTCCCATTTCCCATTCAACACCCCCTGCCACCTCACAGGAACTTTGCCCAACATTACAAGGAATGCCATCGTCAACTGTGCCGAGATGGTGACCTACGACATCATCAAGGAGAAGCTGCTAGACTCCCACCTGCTAACAGGTGAGGCCCTGGGTTTCAGAGAGGCAGGCGGGGTACCTGCAGGGCACCCAAGGGCAACTGGCCTTCAGCAGGAGCTGGGAGAAAAACCAGAGCCTAGTACAGGACTATGATGAGTAGGAAAGGCCTGTGATGAGTAGCAAGTTTCCAACACTGGCTTCGCTTCTCACTCTGTGTCCCTAAGTGGGGTTCTCTCATCCCTGACATCAGTTTGCTAAATGAGGCTGCTGGGCTGGGTGGCCGGCTGACTCCGGGATGCTCAGTTCTAGTTTGCTCAGCCCTGGGTGCCATGAGATGGATGGACAACTCCACCTTACGCTCAAGGAGTTTAAGGCTGAGATGGAGCTGGGGATTTAGCCCAGTGGTACCGCTGCCTGCCTCGTAAGCATGAGGAACTGAGTTTGATCCCTGGTACAAAAAAAGAAAAAAAGCTGACACAAGGTTGAGAGGGAGACAGAATGAACACACATGAAACAGCGCGAGTCACTCCCTCCCTGATATCTCCTTTCTCCTCCCCTTTACAGACAACTTCCCCTGCCATTTTGTCTCTGCCTTTGGAGCCGGTTTCTGTGCCACAGTGGTGGCCTCCCCGGTGGACGTGGTGAAGACCCGGTATATGAACTCATCCCCAGGCCAGTACCGCAGCCCCCTGCACTGCATGCTGAAGATGGTGGCCCAGGAAGGCCCCACAGCCTTCTACAAGGGGTAAGCCTCCCCTCCTGCCTTCCCTCCCTGAAAACTCAGGCTTCTTTTTTATCTTGAGCACCTACCACTGATCCATCTGGGGATGCAGTGTTAAACAGTACAGTTGAGGCCTGGGGATTTAGCTCAGTGGTTCTGCTGCCTGCTTTACAAGGGTAAGGTCCTGAGTTCGAACCCTAGTACTAAAACAAAAAACAAAACAAAACGAAAAAAAGTACAGTTGCAAATGTCACAGAGAAGTATAAAGAACAATGAAAGTTAAAAAAAAAAGTAGACAAAACTTGATTTGGACAGTTAGGGACCCTTACTGAGAAAAAGGAGCCTAAGGATAGCTAAAAGGGTAGGTCTAACTAACTCCAAATATTTTGGGCAAGGGAGAAAGGTGGTTAGTAATCCTGAGACTTCCAGAATCTCCTACTATGACTACTGGTTGCCACCTTCAAGTGCCATGCTCACAGGCCAATGTTCATTTTCTATGCCTGTTTATTTGCTGTTCCCTCTTCCTGGAATGCCTTGTCCTCACCATCTATATTCTCTGCATCTTACCATCCTGCCAGACTATTCCTTTCTTTTGAGACAGGGTCTCACTATAAAGTTCAAGTGTAGCCCAGGCTGGCCTTGAACTCATAGCGATCCTCCTGCCTCAACCTCCGAAGTGCTAGGCTTACAGGCGTGCACCACTACGCTCAGCTCTGCCAGACTATTTTAATGCCACCCCCTCCCTAACACTCATACATACATTTTTTCTCCTCCCTGTCAACTTGGGCAATAACACTTGATTCCATTTTTATGGCATTTATCACCTCCTGCCTTATATTACAATATTTGTAAGGTTAAATTTGTCACCATGCTAGAGTACTAGGTCCTTAGGGCCAAGGACTGGTGGCTCATCTGTCTTTCATCTCATGGAATCCCTAGCCCTAAACAAGCACTCGATAATGTGCGTTGCTGGCCTTCTCCCTGCTGGCTGAGTCTATGCACTGGGCCTTCCACTAAGCACCTCACATAAGTTATCTCCACAACTCCTGACCTGGGCAGTAGGCCCCCACGTGCACCGAGGAAGACATTGCACCTCACAAAAGTAACTTTTTTTAAGATCACAAGTTAAAATTACAGCTCAAACCCAAACCACCTGACACCACACCGAAGGTGTAGCTGTTTAGCCTTTGACAGATAGTTTTCTGGTGTCCAGTATTAGACTGAATCCAACATGCGAATAAGAGCCACTAGAGGTTCTCAAGTTTGGAGATGACATAATAAAACTGTCTTTCAGCTGATAGTCTGTTCTGCTAAGTGCTTCCGTTGTTACCAACTTCAGCTATGATAGCAGCTTGTTTATGTTTTCACTTGTCAAACATTTACTGAACATCTACCTTGTGGGTAGAGGTGCTATGCCTCCCTCAAAGAGCAGCAGACAAGTGGGTAAGGTACACTGAGTGTTGACTAATTTGGTGTCTAAACTGTGTGTTAAACATTGGCTTTAATCCGCCTGACAATCTTCTAAAGTAGATACTGTTATTTTCTTTGTTTTAAATCTGAGGAAACCAAAGCTCAGAAGGATTAAGTCAATCGTCCAAAGCTGTAGAGCTAGAAACTGATGAAGCCAGGCTTTGAATCCAGTTCTGGCTCCAGAGTGCATATGAATTGCCACAATTCCAGATCCCTGACAAGGTTTGGGAAAGGCCATACTGAGAGGTTATGGTGCCTGAGCTGAGCCCTACAGAGAGAAGAGCAACCAGTCAGGCAAGGAAGTGAGTAGGGGACAGTCCAAGCTGAGGGAGCAATGTGGGCAGAGGCACAGAATAAGAGGGCCTGGCATCATCAGGAAACTGCAACCGAGTCTGGCAGGAGCAAAAGGGCCCAGGAGGGAACTACCAGAGAGACAGACTGAGAGGAGGACGGCGGCCAGGTGACCGGCACCTGCCTGAGTCTTGGAAGCGCAGCTGTGCAGTCACAGCACAGGTGGGCTCTGCGAGCCACACGTATGGTTCCATGCTAAGCCGGGCGTGGTGGTGCCCTCCTGTAATCCCAGCACCCGGGAGGCTGAGACAGGAGGATCACTGTGAGTATGAGACCAGCCTGGGCTACACAGTGAGTTCCAGGGCAGTCTCAACTATAGAATGAGACTCTGTCTCAAAAAATAAACAAACAAACAAACATATGGTTCCATGCTGTCTTCCGCCACCATGGCCCTGCTTCTCTGCTCTCCCTGCCCCAGCAGGGGCCTCCTCAGATGTGGTGAATCAAGATGTACAGTAGGGCGGTCACGTCAGACCTGGCATTTGAAAGATATGGCTGCTATTTACTAGCTGTGTGGTTTTGGTTGAGCTCCTTAGTCTCCCTGGGCCTCAGTTTCTAAAAAAGAAACATGGCAACAAGAATAGTTATCATAAAGAATTGTGAGAATTAACTGCCAGGAATAGTAACCTTCCTCAAAGTGTTCGTGTTCTTTCCTTTCCCACCTGCAACTTCTGCCTAAATCCCATCAGCAGAGAAGACAAAGACTGAATGGATCTCAGAAAAATGCTCTTGATAAACCAGGTGTGGTGCTGCATGCTTGTAATCCCAGCACTCAGGAGGTTGAGGCAGGAGGATCTCCACAAGTTCAAGGCCAGGCTTCAAGGCTAGACTACATAGTGAGTTTAAACCCAGCCCAAACTACATAGCAAGACTCGGCCTCAAAAAACGTGAAAGAAAGAAAAAGAAAGAAAGAAAGGCAGGCAGGCTTATGAGGAATGGTCTGGTCCTTTAGCACCAATACACGTGGGGGAGAGCACAAGGATCTACTTGCTAGCCTGCTCCTCCTGATGTTATGGTTGGTTTTATTTTATCAGCTTTACCCCTTCCTTTCTGCGTCTGGGAGCCTGGAACGTAATGATGTTCGTAACCTATGAGCAGTTGCAACGGGCCTTGATGAAAGTCCAGATGATGCGGGAATCACCATTTTGAACAAGACGATGAGGCCACTCAGTACTTACCTTGTATGAAGCCAGTTAACCAGTGGATCCACATCCGCTCAGACCCATGTTTACAGAAATGTGTGCATATTACTGATTCAAGAAGTAAAGCCAGAAGAGGAAAATTCTGGACTGCAGGGCTTTGTCTTAAGAACATTGTTTTGCACTGACATGATGAAAAGTAAATTATATTAATTTGTGAAAACCCATTGAGTTGGATGCCTAACATTTAGGCAAGAGAAAATAACCCAAAATGGATCTATTTAAATTACAAGAAAGTTTTCAAGGTTATCTTCCCTGAAAATCGGATAAGACAATCCACAGGAAAGGCTGCTTCGTGGGACAGCGTAGCCCACAGTACAGCTGGAAACCAGCTAAGGAGCTGGGAGGAACACCACAGACACAACGCAGAGCTGGGACTGCAGCCTTCCGGGTCGTTCACACAGGGATCAGCTGCCCGTGGGTGACGAGTCAGCCAAGTAGAACCCACTGGGCTTTTAGGAAATATAAAGAACAAAAGAGAGAGTCTGGAACCTATGCCTAAGGAGCCCTGCTGGGCCACTCCGGGCTGAGGCCTGCACATGCCTTGCAAGGACACCGGAGGATCAAGAGGCGCCCTCAATCCCCTGTCCTGTAACATGGGTAGTAATCCCTTCCCTGCCTGCCTCAGCAGGGTGTCAGAAGGATCAAGTGAGAAGCTGGGCATGAAACCACCTCATGAGCAAAAACTCTGGGCAAATGAAAGTATGGGAGAATTTTATCAGGACGGAGAAGAACTGCCAGTGGGGAAGGATTTGAAAGATACAATTGCCTGGTGGTAAGGTCAGATCATCCTGGGCTGCAGTGACAGAGACAGTGGGTGAGGCCGGTCCCTGGCTACACTGAGAGGCACCTTGAAGGGTGGGGCTTGGGGCAAGAGAGGTGCTGCCCAATGAGAGCATAAACAGCAGGACTCAGAATCTTTGGAAAATGATTATGAATTAATAGAGGAATTCCCACCTCAAGTGTAGGAGTAAAAACAGCCTCTCTCTGCCTTCTCTTTAATGGACAGAATTTTCTCTATTCTCTAGGGTCAGGTTGGGCCAGTTCTGTTCCCCAGAGCCTGCACTTCCTTCGCTCTCTCCTCTGTCTCCTTGACTGCAGGCAAGCAGCTCTAGTGCTGAGTCTTTGGCAGCTCCCTCTACAAAAGATAGGGTTGAACCAAGTGACTATTTTCAACATAAGATTGCACATTATGGTCCGGGGATTTAGCTCAATGGAACCGTGACTGCCTTGCAAGTGCAAGAACCTGAGTTCAATCCCCAGTACCAAAAAAAAAAAAAAAAAAAAAAAAAAAAAGACTGTACATACATTTTTCAGATTGATAATGAGGAACAACAGCACCAGTGCCTTTTCCTGCTTCTTAGCAGCTTGATAATAATAAGAACTGAGTCCAAACCTTCCCCCATTCTACCCTCCTAATAAACCAAGGGACTCCTTTGGCCCCCAGTGTCCTCCCAGAGAAGTGGAAATAACAATCCCTTTTTCACTAACATGCTGTAAGTATTGATCCAAATCACCTAGAAATATACGAGGGGCTTGGCAACCCTGGCAATGCTATTTCCTCCTTACCAGATCTGATTCCTCCACACCAAGGGAAAAAATGAATATGCATCCTTCCTCAGCACTTCCCTAACTTTACATTGAAATTTGAGATCACCTACATTACGATCTAAATAGTTCAAACAAAGGCAAGCCAGGTGTGGTGGTGCACACCTACTATTAGGATAGTAATAGTGCTATCAGGCATGGTGCCTCATGCCTGTAATCCCAGCACTTGGGAGGCTGAGGCAGGAGGATCACAATGAGTTCAAGGCCAGCCTAAACTACATAGCAAGAACATGTTTCAAAACAATTTTTTTTCTCTTTCTCTTTGCTTAACGGTGACTGCAAATCACTGTTAAACTCCTGGTCTTGGTTTGTAAGCCAGGATCTGTTTTCTATAAATTTGTATATAGCAGTATTAAAACATCAGCTATCCAGAGAACGCTGTTCAAATGATAGCATGGAGAAAGAGAGAGAGAGAGAGTGAGGGAGAGAGAGAGAGTTACGGTGCTTTGATTGGTATCAGGAACCCACTGGTCTCTGAATATATACTTTTGGAGAAGAGAAATCAAGATTGATGGGAGATCTTCTGAGGTTTCCTGGGAAAAATAGTAGAATCCTTTCCTTATTTCTTAAAGGCAGAGGTTGAGCCAGGTGACCTGAGGCTCTTTAGTTCTGTGATTCCAAGAACTGAGAGTTTGTTCCCAGTACCCTAGCACGCCTTTTCTAGTCCAGGCCTGTAGTTGTGCCTCCAGGAAAGCAGGGAGGTGCGCTCTGGAGATCACCAGCCCAGGCCCCTCCAGGGAGCTCTGTGCACCCATCCCCCAAACCTACAGGGGCCCCCCTCCAGCCAAATCATTTTAAAGAAACGTGCTTTTTCTCAAACTCTTCTAGTGTATCAGGCAAAAAAAATGAGATCGATTAAACCTGGACCCAGTCACCCTAGTGACAATGGGGTAATTACTTTATAGTAGGTAAAAGTAATGTCTTCAAAGAATATTTTATTCAGGAGAAATTAATGTTACGTAAGGAATGCAATTATATCGCTCTACATGAGTTCATTTGTGTCAGGACACGTTAAAACTGCAGAATGCTGTCATACAACGCAGTGCATCCTAAGCTGCATATCATGTTAGGTGCTGAGGTGAACAAGGCCAGCCCTGTCTTCAAGGGACTCACGGGAACAGAGACGAAGCCAGACAGGAAAATGGATAGATAGAAAGTAGACAAGAAAATTGCGTTTTTAATAAAAACTGCAGGTTCAAGACTCTAACCCAGTCAAAATTTCCTAAGGTCCCGTAAACTCTGGCCATTCCCTTTTACCTGTAAATGGGCTTTTTATATATTATCATTGAGTTTATTGGTACTTTTTAAGTATACAGTACAGTAACATTCATCATCGGATCTTGTACCTTCACATGACAGATCTTGGTTCTCATTTTTTCCCCCATTCCCCTGCCCTCCCTTCAGGCTTTTTTTTTTTTTTTTGCTTTCTTTCTTTCTATCTGAGAATAAACCGTCTTGTCTCACTTGGAGAATAGAACTTTCCCTGTGGATGGGTTAATAGCTCTATCACCTGTGATGGCTGTCATCTATGAATGGGCTGTCAACCTGCAGAAAGGTCACTTTTCATCTATAAACTGAATCCCCTCTTTCTATAGATTTCTCCTCCCAAATCCCCCATAAATATAGCCAGCTCAGGGACATAAACATCTCTCTCTTCCTTTTCTTTTTCTTTTTTTTTTTTTTTTTTTTTTTTTTTTTTGGTACCGGAGATCAAACTTAGGACCTTGTGCTTGCACAACAGGCGGTGGAACCACTGAACTAAATCCCCAGCTCTCTCTCTCTTCCTCTTAAAGGCCACACTCTAGTATTTCTTTGACTGTGTACTTTTAAAACTCTGCCTAATGAATCCCTTTCTGCCTCTTACTGACATGTCCTGAAAACTCTATGATGCAAGTCAGCAAACCTACAACTTATCGTGTAGCTTGGGTGAATCAAGGTTCCCATCTCTACTCTGAGGTCCTCCCTGGGCTCTGTCCAGTAACAGAGGATGCTGGACAGAAAAATAAATAAATAACCCACAGCCACCAACTATCATAGACTAATTAACAGCTTCAAACTGATTTATTGTTACTGATTTTGGGGTCTAAAAGACACTTTCCAGGGATTCCTTCTAAGTTCTTGGTGTCCTGAACAAAGAAAAAGACACATACAAAAAAAAAGGTAGCAAGGATTTGCATTTATTAAAAGTAGGAAAAGTACACTCTGCAAAGTAAGAGCAGGCCACTGAAAGAATTTACAGCGGCCCCGAGGTTAATGACTGGGAGTCTTTTTTCTCTTCCATTCCTCAGTCTGATGTCAAATCTAAACTGTCTTATCAAAAGCCCACTTGATTTCATATCAGATGTAAATACAGAATTAAAGATAGCACTTTCTGATCAGTCCCAGGTACAGAGCTTGGAAACTGTTCTACAAATATGTTTTGGGTCCTTGATTATTTTTTTAAAGTGGGAAGGATTTACTGAGAGAGAGGACTCACTCAGAAGGGGTGCACAGGTGCTCAAAGGAATTGGGAGCTGAGCTGGGGAATGGGAAATAGGAAAGCTCTGGAGAGACAGAAGGGTCCGTAGTAACTGACAGCCCACACCCACTCACCCAGTCGACTTGCCCCACCCTAATCTCCTGCCTCCCTACCTTGTGATTTAGATCTGGGGTGTGCTGCCCAAAGCCTTATGTGTTTGGAAGGTGTTCAGGGGGGTAGGTACACAGATAAGGGACACCTGGCCTGGTTTTGGAGAACTTCTTGAAGGAAGATACCTAAGGGAAAATCAGGAGTTATTCAGGCAAAGGAAGGTGAGTGAAAGTCATCCTAGGCAGAGAGAATAGCTTGTGCACTAGTCCAGAAAAAAGACAAAAACAAGATGTACTCGAGGGATTACCAGCTGTCAGTATGGCTGGGTTGCAGATCTACAGAGGAGTAGTGAGAAACACAGAGATAGAAAGTTGAAATCACATGTTATATGCTGAATGCTCATCCCCACACCCGCTGAAAATTCATATGTTGAAGCCCTAACCTCACATGTGAATTTGGAGTTGAGGCCTTTGGTAGATAATTAGGTTTCAGTGAGTCACGATGGGATTAGTGTCCTTATAGGAAGAGGAAGAAAGACCCAGAGATCCCTCTCTCCTCACCATGTGAGAACACAGCAAGAAGGCAGCCATCGGCACACCATGACCACAGCCTCCACCAAAAACCAAACTGTAGGAACCTTCCTTGATCTTGGGCTTCTTAGCTTCTAGAGCTATGAGGAGAAAAATCTTGTTTAAGCTACCCAGTCTGATATTTGAAATGACAGCCCAAGCTGACTAACAAACCACACTGAGGAATCTGAAGTATTCTGGGAATAATGTGGACATACTGAGGTATAGGAAGGGAGTGGCTGCAATGTAGACAGTGAATAAGCAGAGTAGACTGATCCTAGGAAAATGAGGGTATGGTGAAACCAAGCAGGAGTGGAGGGAACAGCGTAGTAATAAAAGCATCGTCCTTGGAAAGATCCTATTTAGAAGAAGTACTGAGAGAAGATGATGCACACATGTATAAAATAATATAAGGGCCAGGGATTTGGCTCAGTGGTTCCGCTGCCTGCCATGCAAGTGCAAGGGCCCAAGTTTGATCCCCAGTACCAAAAAAATTTATTTTTAATTTAAATATATATAAAATAATATATAAATATCCCCAGTAATATTCCCAACGTATCATTTTCTGGCCTCTGAATTAACCCACTGGGCCCATAGCAGGCTCACCACTTCCTGAGATTAAGTGGTTGAGCGGCTCTCTCTGGGAGATAGCTTTCTGACAGGGAATCAAGGCGCAGAAGTTGTAGCATTGATTGTTTTGTCCACTTCTGTTATTTCTTAGATATATTCTGTGTTGGCGTACATAGAGGACTCGGGTACTCCTCAGATATGCTCCTACCACTGCGACCACACTGCTCTCTTTCACCATCTACCTGACTGTCCCACTCGCCCCTAAGCTCCTCACAGCCACACAGGGTTAGGTTTACAATTATATCCCCAGCCTCTAGCAGAGTGCCTGGAACGCTGCAAAATTAATGAGTGGATTCTTGAATTAATTTTTTGAACTGAAGTAAAGTACACATAACATAAAATCTACTCTCCTTTTTTTTTTTTTTTTTTGGAGACAGGGTCTCACTATGTAGTTG